CCAGATTATCAGAGAGCTTTATATTTTTACTGAACCAATTAGGATCTCTCTCAGGGACAGTATTGAAGACCCCAGTGCATTATTTACAAAATAATTTGCTAGAGAAACATTTCTCAGATTTGCATACTAGAACAAATTCTTTTTCTCCTGAGATCTACTAATCCATCATGGCCTGTGTGAATTTTATAATTGTTTTTCTCTTTTTGCTTTATCAAATAGATAGTGTAGGGCCACATTTCTGGCCAAAGTTAAGAAACTTCTGGCTTACGTAATTGCATGCTTATTTTTCCTTTCTCTGAATTTTTATATTTATAAAATAGGATTTTACTGCTATGTCTTAATTTTTATAGGCTGTCTCAAATGCTTTGTTGAAAGGAGGCAAAGTATCTATAAATAATAAAAGCATAATATGGTAATTAGACCAAACAGCCGAACGACCTTCTGGATGTCCTTTTAGACGAAGCTACGGGGGAGGGGGTGAAGGGGAGAGGGTGGCACAAGACAAAGGTCATCAGTTAGGGGCGAGCAGGCAGGCAGGCAGAGTGGTTAGGGGTTATCAGGCAGGCAGGCAGGCAGGTGAGCAGTGAGGAGCCAGAGGTCCCAGATTGTGAGAGGGATGTCTAACTGCTGGTTTAGGCCCAGTGGGATTGAGCCCGAAGGTTCCCAGATTGCAAGAGGGTGCAGGCCAGGCTGAGGGACCCCTCCCTTTGTGCACGAATTTCATGCATCAGGTCGCTAGTGTAGTAATAAATAAATAGCTTCAAGATTTTGATGGGTGCTTTTGTTACTTATTACTTTAGTCACTTATTAGGATTCACTTACTGCTGCACATCAGTCCTGAGAAAGGGTGAAGGAGCTGAAAACAGTTCTTGGCTGATGAGGCTCACAGTCCCCACACATGGAATCTGACTGCTTTCCAAGTGAAGTGACTCACTGTGTTCACCTGTTATGTTCAGTTTGTTCAGTTTTCTAAAATGTTTCAGATTTTCAAAATAATGTTTGAACAACTCTCTTAAAGTACTTTGTAAAGTTTTCAGGCATTTTTGTATTGGGAGGGAAATTCAACTAAAAGAATATTTGAGTATTTGAGCTGGTGAATCAGGTCTCTAAATAAATCAAATAAATCGGGGAGAATGCTGTTTTGTTCCTCTATATAGGAACGTATCTTTTGGGTGGCAGGAAATTTAATTCTGGGCATTTAGACCTGTTCTCAGTATAAAAACCCACAGTGCTTTTCTCTTTCCCCCCCATTCTATTCTGGAACTTAGAAACAGGTTAACATGATACATGTTTTTTACATTTTTATAGCTTTTCTTGGTTCTGAAAACTGATAAAGCAGCTTACATGTATCAGGCCAAAAGGTAAAGTAATTTTATTAAAAAAATAAAACCAACCTCATCTAAAAGAAGCTGAAAGATTAAGCATTCCTTCTGTCAGTGCTCAGTAGGTTTGGGTCATACTTTTTATTTGACTTTTTCTGCTTGCTCAAGTGAGGAGAAAAAAAAAAAAAGCATAGAATTATATCGTTTTTATGTACTGACAACCGGAAGCTTATAAACATCTGCAGAAACCAAACATTTCCTGGAACTAAACTTGAGCAGAAATTTATCACGTGAATCTTTGTTTAAAGAACCCAGTGAAAAATACCTTCAACCACAGTTATGTAAAAGGCCCAGGAGTGCCGTTCACGTGGATTCAGTTCTCCAGAGGCAGAGCCGAGGAGTCTGCAGGACATGCTTGAGGTGCGTGTGCAGGCTGCAGGGCCCGGGGCCCAGGGCTGCGTGGAGGGCTCAGGCCAAGCATCTGCAGCCTCTGCTAGTTTGAAGCCATACTTGGGAAAGGAGCTTAGAAAACCACCATTGTCCATAGGACCTACTGATTATTTTTTCTCTAAAATAGTAGGTATTGAGATTTTATTTATTCTGTTCATCTCACAGCAAACATCTGCAGTTGGATATGATTTATTTTGGAAATTAATGTGAAGCTTTTAAGCTTCGAAGGAAGTAAGCCATCTTTTTCATGGAATTTTAAGGGTTGGGCTTTTCGCTTTGCCCATTCAGAAGTCTAGTTCACTTGAGAGCGGAGAAAATGGAATCTAGTTTTTTTTAAGGAGCTTGTGCTCAATTTAAGTTTCCATAACAGAAAGGAATGTAAGACTTCACAACTTAGGTGACATGGAAGAAACAACTTCCGCCTGAAATATTTGAGGGACAGATACAACAAACTATCATCTTTTGAAAACCTGAACTGAAAAACTTGAGTTTGGTCATTATAGTGCAGTTTCTTTGAAGAATGTCTGTATCCCTTGAACCTACGTGGCTGAGTTAACTGAAACACTTTAAAACACTTGCCTGTCTATGGGGTTAAGATAGATCTTCCCAAGTTTACTATATACAACAGTTCTGTTATAGGTGATGTTATTAGTTCCTTATTCTGGTAAAAACTGACCAATTTCTGCTTCTTAAGACTGAGTCACACCAAGCCAACATGTGAAAGGGTGCACTGGTAGGATTTAGGAAGGTGTCTTAGGAGGTTTAGAAGTCTGGTGCTGTATATCTACCATACAGAGCTATTATAGGGTACATATGATAATGTGGATAAAATACCTGGCACATAGTAAGTACTCAATGTTGCTGTACATTCTCTGTCATTGATGGCCATAGACCCAGTTCTAGAATTTTTATTCTAGGTCATACACATTTAGACATGTTGGGATTGATCCTGATTCTAGTAGAGTTCTTTTGTATTGACACAAGAGCACTAATAGCATGTGTTGAAAGTGTAGTTTCTATTCAGTAAATTATAGGCTGAACATAACTCAGGAAATAATGCAAATGGTTTGGAATTTCTTGGTGAAACAAGACAAGATTTAACAGTGTTCAAGAGTCGGCCTCACTCTGTCGGTTGTTTAGTTCAAGGGGGATGTCATTGGTGACTTTAACAAGAGTAGTTTTCAGGGGATCCACAAGCGCCTGGTGGGAATGGTGAGTTCGAGTGAGAATGGGAAGAAAGAATGGGAGACAGCAGATAGAGCAATGGGATGCTTATCCATGGGAATGTGGGGTCAAGAGAAAGGTTTTTTTTTCTCTGTTTATGGTTTGGAGAAAGTACACACTGCTTATACACTGATGAGAACCATCCTGTATAGAGGCTACATTGATTATGTAGTTGGATAAGGATTGTGAGGTGTTTGCGTCATAGATCCAAGTTGACTGAAATAATGAAATTTTTCCTTTGTTTCCCACCCTCTCCTTCTCAGTCTTTCACTCATTTGTCTACCAAATAGTTACGTATTAATGGTTCACAAGGTGCCAGCACTGAAGTAAGTTCTGGGTAGAGAATGATAATTAAGGGATGAATTAAATAGTAATAATTTCTACATGCTTTTGAAGCTTTTAAATATATTTTTATTGATTTTGGAGAGAAAGGGAGAGGGAGAGAGAGAGAAACATCAATGATAAGAGAGAATCATTGATGGGCTGCCTGTACACCCCACCCTGGGGATGGAGCCCGTAACCTGGGCATGTGCCCTTCACTGGAATTGAACCGTTCTCCTGGTCCAAAGATTGATGCTCAACCACTGGACCACACCAGCTGGGCTCTCAGGAAGCTTTTATTGTCTAGTTGGGTTAGGCTTTCTAAAAATACCAATAAGTAAATATAGACTGTGATGAAAGCTTAGAATACCATAGTGTGATTTAGACTGGCAGCATGAGCAGGCCTCCCAGCTATAGATGGTGGCCATGATTGAGAGGAGGAAGGGTGCTCCAGGCAGAGGGAACAGAAGATGCAGAAGCTGTGGGGCAGGGAACAGCTGGTGCTTTGAGGATTTTAGAAGGCAGCCAGTGTGGCCTAAGAGGTAGGCAGGAACCAGGTCTAGCAGAGCTTTCTTGGCCATGAAGATTTTAGATTATATTCTAGGAGCAATGGGAAGCCATTGAAATGTTCTAATGTAGGAAATGACACGATTCGACTTGCATCGAGGAAAGAAAAAAACTATTTGTGTGGCTGTGTCATGATCGATGGATCAGGGGGCAACAGTAGAGAAAAAAATAATACCAACTTAGGCAAAATAATAGTATCTGTGAAATTATGTAGACTGAAATATTATAGTTTTTCTATGAAAAAAATAGAATTGAGAATATCCTTCTTGTAGCATAATTTACTTTGAGTTTACCAGTTTTCTCAGCAGCTGTGAAAAGAGTATTGTTAAAAATAATACCAATACAGAAGAGTCAGATGAAGGTATCAGTGATTTCAGATTATTTAACAAAAAGATTAAAATATTATTTACCCAAAATTGTGGTAACTTTGTGAAAAATTAAAAATAATAAGACCATATCAATCTTTTTGTCCAGAAAAACTACTAGTGACACAATATTAGATATAGAATCTAATAAGAACAGAAGAGTACATGAATAAGTACCAAGAATAATCTGTTTATATTTTAAATGTTCACATACTATAAAGAAACCTTAAAGTTTTTGCATTGATATAGTGAATGTACCTTATTTTCATTTTTTAGAATAAAGTAAATGTAATAACAGTTTATTGGTTAAATATTTCAAAAGTTCACTTTTCCACTTTCAAAAGTATCTTAGTTTGCATGATAAATTATATGGTTAGAGATAGAGTATCTCTATCAGTTGAGGGTCAGACTGGTAAAAAAAAAAGTGGTTAAGTTTTAGAATCAGATGCATAATTTATTGTGCTGATTTAGGCTTTTCGCCAATGAGATTTCTTAAAGCAGAAGGGCAGTTTTAATACCAAGTATTGCTATCTCAGGTCACTGACAATTTCAGGGCCATGAATTAACTTGTTCTGAGTCAGAGAGAGAGAGAGAGAGAGAGAGAGAGAGGGAGGGAGGGAGGGAGGGAGGGAGGGAGGGAGGGAGGGAGGGAGGGAGGGAGAAAAGAAGAAACAGAAGTTATTCTCTGTCTGGACAGTCTATTTAGGAGCATTCTGTCTTGGTTGTAATACCAGTTTTGATTCTCACACAGGCGTTTATTAATGCTTTTCAGAGTCGGAAGAGGCGATTGTTTTACCATCTGGAGTTTCTGGGCCTGGCTGACCTGAGCCTAACCTGCCAGTTTATGGGAGATGATAGACAACACTGGGAACAGCTGAGTAAGTAGATGCTGCTGTGCTTTGCTTTACAGCTTTTTCTTAAAAAAAGTAAAATTTTTATAAGTTTAAAATATTATGCATTTTAATTGGGTTCTTTAAATTTTGTTGAATAATGATGGCAAATATTTTAATTCCAATAAGTAAGTATTTCTATGTAATGGGATTCCAAAAGAAATCCCTTAATTATTAAAAAAAATTAATGAAAACATTTCCATACATAATACTTCAGCCATCAAGAGACACAGTGAGAATTTAAATGAAAATTAAAAGAATTCTCCTTAGTGCTTTATTTTACTTTCCTATCTAATAAAAGGACAATATAGAAATTAGCCATCACTCCATCACAAAGATGGCAGTGGCCAGTCCTCTCAGCACTACCAGAGTCCCCCAGTTCTGGAGGGGAGGGGGAGGGGAATAGGGGAGGGGTGGCTGGCAGCATGAGCGGCCTGGCAGAATGCTTGCTTTATCACTGTGGCGGGAGGGCCTCCTGGTCAGGCCGGGTGCAGATGGGAGGAACAGCCCTGCAGGGCACCTGGCAGGCCTCACAGCCCTTGGAGGGTCAAGGATGGGATGAATCATGGAGCCCCAAGTGCAGCTGCCAGTGCTGCCACACGATCGCTTTGCCAGTGTGTTCTGTAGGCCTTAAACCTTCTTGTTTGTGTATGGGTCAATTACTATAAATCTGTATTGTTTTAAGAATAAGATTCTTTGATTCATCATATATATATACTGAGTATCTACTATATGCCAAACAGTATTTTATGCACTGGGATTCAGTAGTGAACAAAGTAAACAAAACTCTCTGCTTTTATGGAGTTGACATTCTATTGAAGAGACTAAGAATAAGTAAATAAGTGAAATATATAATCTATTAGAAGGCAATAAGTTCTTTGCAGAAAATATGAGAAGTTCAATTATAAATGAGGTACTCAGAGAAGGTCTCACTGAAAAGGTAATATTTGACTAAAGACTTGAAGGTGAGAGAAAGAGCCTTACAGATATTTAGGGAAGAGTGTTCTAGGCAGAGGAAATAGCAAATGCAAAGATCTTGAGGCAGGCTTGTGTCTGTCTTGTTGGAATGGTAGAAGGAGGCTTGTGATTGGATGCAGTGAGTGATGGTTAGAGAAGAAGAAAGGAAATGAGAGCCATGGTTATTGTAAGGATTTTGGCTTTGTGCGACATGAATAGAAATGGAAGGGGTTTGAGAAGAGAAGTGAGATGGTTTTCTGTTGATGCTGCTGTGTTTCTAATACTCTGAGGTGAGGGTGGGAGGTTGCAAGAACACACTAGAGAGGCCCAGTTCAGGGCTGCTGCAGTGACCAGTTGAGAGGTGGTGGTTCCTGAGACCATAACCAAAGGAAGTGATGGGATTCTAGTTATATGCTGTTGTGAAGTTACAGATGGGATGAGAGAGAAAGAGTTGTGTCACTGTTGACTCTTCTTTTGGCCTGAACAACTGAAGAATAGAGTGCCTTTTATTGAATTGGGGAGAATTGTGGGAGCAATAGATTTGAAGTAGCACCAGGGGCTCAGGTTCGGGCACATTAAATTTGAGATGAGTCGAAACCGGTTTGGCTCAGTGGTAGAGCATCGGCCTGTGGACTGAAAGGTCCCGGGTTTGATTCCGGTCAAGGGCATGTACCTTGGTTGCAGGCACATCCCCGGTGGGGGGTGTACAAGAGGCAGCTGGTCGATGTTTCTCTCTCATCTCATCCACGTTTCTAGCTCTCTCTCTCTCTCCCTTCCTCTCTGTAGAAAATCAATAAAATATATATATTTTTAAAAATTTGAGATGACTCTTCAGACATCTAAGTGGAAAGGTCAAGGAATTCAGTGAGATAGAGGTCAAAGTCATTAGCATTTAAAACTGATGAGATTTGAGATCAACAATGGAGTGAGAGTATAGAAAAAAAGGAGAGCCAGGGTCCACCGCGACATTTGGAGATTGGGAGATTCTACAAAGGTGACTGAGAATCGGGTCATAAAGTAAGAATTGGGATATTGTAGTCACCAAGGAGACCAGGTGTGTCAGGGAAGCAGGAATAATCAGCCTTGTCAAATGCTGCTGGTAGGTTAGGTAAGATGTGAGCTGAAAATTGATCTTTGGATTTAGCAATGAGGAGGTTACTAGTGAGCTGGACAAGAGTGTTTCAGTGAATTGGTGGAGACAAAAGCCTGAGTAGAATAGATTCAAGGAAGAATTGAAGGAAATGAAGAGAAGAAGGTGAATATACAGACTCTCTTCAGGAGTCAAGCAGGATCAAGGAAACTATTGGTTTTAGTTTTTTCAATGAGAGGAATTAACACATATTTCCTCAATGGCATGTATTAGAAAGATTTTAAGATCTTCTGAAATGACCCACCAGATTTGTGACACTTAAGAGCTATGTGGGAAGGATTAGTATTTCCCTCCTAAGAGGATTTTATAGAATTGTGTTTTGTAAAGTGTGTGTGCAGGTTGGTATTGATGGTGTTAAAAGTTGTTTTTGTAATTGTTATGAAATTTGGCTTCATTTCTTTCTGCTCAAGGTCTGTATTCACATTCTAATAAATACTTTAAGGAAGCAAATGTTAAATTAGTTCACCTCAATTGAAAGAGTTGAGAAAACTAGTGTTTGGGGGTAATTTATTTTCCTAACCTTAAAGGAGGTTGCCAGAAGCATTGGGAGAAATTGAGGCAGAGACATGCCCAAGGTCACAAGACAAAACTTTGCCAGAATAACTGGGTCTTAGAGCTGCTTTACTAGCTATGTGGAACACTTAATCTCTGCATTTCAGTTCCCACCGATATAAAATGAGGATAATATTTGTTCTACCTACCACGTGAGGTTTTATGAGGATCAAATGGGATAGTAGGTGAAAGAGCTTCACCAGCTATAAAGCATTCTATACCTATTAAGTAATAGTGTGAAAAGCAAGTTAGGCTCAAGGATTTTGTGACAGTTTTTGTAATAACTAGAGATAAATGGAATGTCACAGAATCGGGGTTGAGAACAACTACAATACATAATACTGATAGAGTCTTCCAAGAATTTGCCTTTTGTATATGTCAAGCTTTGTTAATAACACCACAGAGTTGATCATATTTGGGTCATCATAGAGTTTTGTGGTTAAGAGCCATGGATGAGATCCAAATAATCTATCAGTTGATCCCCTAGGGGCCTCAGAATTACTGACCATCTCACTCTTTTGGCACATTAATGTTAGTTTGCTGAAACTCTGTGGAATAGCCGCTCTCTTATTGGAAAATATTCAAGTTATGATGATAAATTTTATGTCAAACTTGAGAGCATTTCTATATTTGATACTTGAAGTCATAGTCATACTTTATTTTCAAAAGAGATTGTTATGAGAAATTGAGAAATTAAAATGGGTAGCCAAGGTCACTCCCATTAAAGATGATGTGAAGATGATGAGTGATACAAAACAAGTATAAAACTGGACAAAATTGTCAAAAACAATCATTTCTGGGTTCGGGGAAGGCAGAAAATAATTATGCTGGTGCTTGGGTAGAAGTGTGGCCTTCTCTCGTGTTCCCCCAAACCCCAACTCGGTAGGAACTGCAGTTTTGTGAGCTTATGGTTTTTACCAGAAGTGAGGGACTTGGTATTGTGGGCTGGGGTTGTGGGTGAAACCCCACAGCTTTGCTGGCTAAAACTGGCATACTCAGTTTACAATGGATAAGAAAAATCTCCAGCTTTGCTGTATCAGGTTTGCAGTCCTGTTTTGGGGCCACCAGGCAGAAACTGAAAGAAAGAGCCTGAAAATGAGAGAACTGTAGAAGCATTGCGATGAGCTCTCCACACACCTGTGGCAACTGCTAAATGGTGAATGTCCATGGGCGACAATTGCACAACAAGGAAAAGCCAAGGGAGGCCCCCAAAAGCTTGTGTACACACTAGCCGGTTGTCTTTGTGGATAGAGCGTTGGCCTGTGGACTGAAGGGTCCTGGGTTCGATTCCAGTCAAGGACGCATACCTCAGTTGCAGGCTCCCGGCCCTGGTCACTGACCTGGGTCCTGGGCTGGGGCATGCAGGAGGCAACCAATATCCTTGGGTGAGGATTAAAAAAAAAAAAAAGCTTTGGTGCAACTTTCAAAAAGCCCACAAATAACTCCACCGATGAAGTGGGGAACCCTTATAAGTACAAACTTTTGGGTACAACCCCTAGGTGCCCGTCAGCAGATGATTGGATCAAAAAACTGTGGTACATCTACACAATGGAATACTATGCTGCCATAAAAAAGAAGGAATTCTCATCATTTGCAGCAACCTGGATAGAACTAGAGAACATCATGCTGAGTGAAATAAGCCAGTCAATGAAAGAGAAATACCACATGGCCTCACTCATTTATGGATATTAAAGAACATTATAAACTGACAAACCAAAAGTCAGATATAAAGACAGTAAAGCAATAAGCAGACTGTAAAATTACAGCGGGGAGAGTAGGGAGATCTGGGAGAGATAAGAGATCAAACGAAGGACTTGTATACATGCATATAAGTACAACCAATGGACTCAAAACTCTGGGGAGGGGGGTATGTATGGGGGGCAATGTTAAAATATGTACACAGATAATAATTTAATAAAAAAATAGTAATAAAAAAATAAAAATAAAAATTTTACAGAACCTCCAAAAAAAAAAAAAGAGCAGATACTAGTTTTAGAAAATTTGTTAAAATGCACCTGGCTAAGTGTCTTTGGAGAAGGAAACTTTTATTTCTTTAATAGTTATTGATTTATTCATGTTTTTAAATTTTTCTCCAGTCAAATTTGGTAATTTGTAACTTTGTATAAAATTATCATTTCATTAAAATTTTGTATTAAAAAAAAAAAAAAGCTTGGGTGCAACTTTCAAAAAAACCACATAACTCCACTGATGAAGTGGGGAACCCTTATAAGTACAAAGTTTTGGGTACAACCCCTGCTCGCATCTCTGGCTGACCATGAACCTAGGCAGACAAGAGTACATCTAGGGCACTGTGTCAGAAACTATAAAT